TATTATACTAAGATTTCCATATACCCCATATTCTATCTACTTAAGGGCCACTATACCCCTAAACCCTAAATAGCAGTTTCCATTTTCTTTTCCATTATCCCAATATAATCCCAATATAACCCCAGTATAACCCCAATACACCAATAAACCGAACCTCGGCCTTGCATTCGGGCCACAGCAGGATGGGGATGAGTCAAAGGATGTAGCTACAAACCCTAAACCCTGTCCCGTAAACCCCTACCTAAACCCCCAAAGTAGGTAAAATAATGGCCCAAATCCCCTAAATGTAGCCCAAAAGGCAATTATTCTACATACTTTGGGGGTACAGGTAAACCCTAAACCCTCAGACTCTGAACCCTAAACCCTAAACTTCATGCGCATTTAGAGGAGCGTAGCAGCACCTATGCCCTCTAAGTCATGCAGGAGTCTGAGCATCTGCGTTTCACCTAGATTGCGAGCTTCCTCCACCTGCGATCAGTGCTGTGGAGAGTTGGAAACTGCGAGGGAAAATACGGTTGGTAGCAATGAGGGTTTTAAGATAGGAATTCGGAGCTCCAGAAGTCAGCAAGTCCGTAAGCTGTCAAGTAGCCAGTTGAGCTGAAGCTTTGCGCATGCGTTGAAAGTGCACCCCGTGCTGTACATTCCTGGAAGGAAACCCCTTTGTGCTAAGGCCGGAAAGATTGAGTTGGATCAGACGCGAGTATTGAAGATATCGTAGGCAGAAGTTTGCAGCCCCTTGACTGGCAAGTCATTCCGTCGTTCCACTGCGGCGGTGATTTGAACGCGTTCTGCGTGCAAGGAGTTCTTCGGTGGACTCTTTGAGGGTTCCTCAGGCTCAAGTCCCCTCTGAGGGGTAGCCCCTATAAGACTATGACAGGATCTGAATCGTTTGGATTCAGGATAGGGTTTCCTACTTCTGAGACCGCATCCGCACAGCATGCGAGTCTGAGGCGCTTCAGAGTCTAGTTGTCACCTTCCTTGGCTAAACCTCAAGAACGAAACCTCCACAGCTTGCACACAAGGCCTCAGGAAGGAATCGATTCTTTGCAGACTCTGCTAGAAAGTATTTCCCTATACACCCCCAGTTTCCATGTCATACTCCATTTGATTCTCCATTATTGGGGGGGAACCCAAGGTAAGTCCTAAACCTTATCTGCCAGAATGTGATTTATTCAACACCTGTCCGCGCGACCTGGCTTAAGCTGGCGGCATGGCTGGGACTTGTGGGCAGCTGCTTCAATGGACAAGATTCCAACAATGAGGCTTTCCAGTCTTTAGGGCTTTAAAAGTTATATCTGAATTCGGGGGAAGCCACATGGACATGTACATGTCTATGCCAGGAAGAGAGATGACATGTCACGGAAGTCAGGCAGGGTCTAGCAGGTAGTTTGTTCATCTCGGGCGCATTCGCCTTGCCATCCAGATGCACTTAAGGCCCGTGTTTAGGGAAGATATGTGGTTCGAACTGCAAGAGACCAGTAAAGCATCACCCCACAAGAGCCATCTCTTACCGGCGCGGGGGGCCGCTGCTGGTAGGAGCGATGCCGCCGCCCTCAAGTTCCGGCCACGGCTCTGGGTTTGTTTGTTCTGTAGGGTTTAGGGAGCTGCGGTCTTTGAATTTTGGGCATGTCTTAGCCTAGACCTAGATCAGGTTAGGTTGAGTGCATTGTCAGGCGATGCGGTTCACATGCTAGATTGTATCAGGCAAAGCAAGCGCCGTCGAGTGCGAAGCTGTCAACCTCCACCATAAACTAGTTGGAGGTTCAACCGGATTTTCTTCAAGCTTCTGCTGCCGTGACCGTGGCTGATGTTTCTCAGAACTTGTTTGCAGTAGCTTTGGGTTCCTGCCACTGCTTGGACTTCTAGGAAAGTTTCAAGCAAACACTTGTATCACTTCTATGGCAGATTTTCTAAAGCGGAGTGATACAGGACATGTACCTGGGTTTCCCCAACTTCCAACATAATCCGTGACTTCCTCAGGACAATACTGTAATCATTTTACATAGTTACGGCTACTGTTGTTGTTACTTCTACTTTTCACTCCCTTGGTTTCATGGTACATTACCCCTAAATTTGGGAAACCCTAAACCCTAAATAGTAGCATCCATTTTCTTTTCCATTATCCCTATAAAGCCCTATATAACCCCTATAAACCTCTAGAAACCCCTATATACCCCCCATAACCCCAAGATAACCCCTAAAAAATCCTATACAACTCCTATAAATCATATATAATCCCTATAAACCCGCTTAAAAGGACCTCGGTCCTAAGGTTGGCCACAATCCCGAACACGTTCTCGGAGTCGTCGAGGCGAGGACAAATCCGAGCGATGTAGAGTGGGGGTGTGTCCGGACCCTGGGTTTAGGGTTTAGGGTTTGGGGTTTAGGGTTTAGGGGCTTGCGCTCCCCACCCCAGTAATAGTAAGTAATGCATCAGGTATGTATAAGGATTTGAATATAGTTGCCATTCTCCCTTGTGGGTGCTACTCAAAGATTTTGGGGTGCTACCCCTGGGTTTGGAGGCCCCAGGCAGCTACATTTCGTCAATACAAGGTTTACATTGGAGTCATACGAAGGGAGCCTACTTGATTTCAAATTTCCGATTATTAGGTAAAGAAGTTAGGTAAAGAAGAAGCTTGTGGGGCATGGTGTAGGGCAACAGAGGAGGGTTGTCATGTTTGCTACAAACTGAGCACCCTTCGTTATTACCCTGTTGATTCCCTATTTCCTTTCCTATTGGACAATAACAACGACAATACAGAATGAACAAGGTAATAGAGCCGTACGACCTTAGGGGTATGACCTTGGAACCTTTGAAGTACTAGCTGCATACCCATTCAAGATTGTGGGTGTGTTCCTAAACCAGAAATACTAGGTGATATGGAAGTAACAGGCCTTTCCAGCATTCTGATTCCGGGTCCCTGCTAGCGGTCCCTATGGCTGGGATAGCGTTAAGTACTTGAAGTACGAAGGCACCCTAGTTTTCAATGCTTCTGAAGGCCCTGCAATGTAGCTATTTGCTACTTTGACTTCAAGTCCATCCGAAGGAGATGTCTGGATGTGTAACGACCACAAATCTCGGGGGTCAATCTGATTGCTTGGGGTCCGCGGCTTCAATGAGGAAGGCTGAAGCATAGAAGGCAGCAGCTTTTTAGAGCTGAAAGTCAAGGACATGGCTTCCGTCTTTGAATGCTCTGCATGAGTATTGAAATAGCACCTTCCGGCTTTTGGGGTGCCTTTGTGTCCTTGAGGATCTGCTGACAATTAGGGTTTAGGGCTCTGACTTTAGGGTTTGGGGTTTAGGGTGTTGGGAGGAGACACTTCCATTGTTTCGAAACCGCAAAGCCTCTTACAGCTTCCCTGCTTGGACGAAGGCCCCTCCACGGTTGCATTGGAGGCCTGGAATTCGTGCACCTATAAAGTTGTCCGGCAAGGAATTGCAAGCTGTGTGCAGTATGTTCCGCTGTTCGAGCAGCACAAAGGATTCTCGACTTTGCACATATGTGATGGACAGTGGGCTTCTGTCACTCTATTCAGGCTTAATAACAGCTCATGACAGTGGGATTCAAAGTTCTGGTGCGGGCTTGCTGATTGCTTGCAATTGGCTCGTGCTATCTAAAGCGCGGGCGCGCGGAACTCTGTAAGAGCGTAAACGGCAAGACCGACGCCTGCAGCTGTCTCAGGAGCAATGAAGCTGCATGAAGTGCGGGCCAATCCACGCAGGTGCCAGCCATTGATGTCAAGGAGGAGGGCGAAACTGAAAGCGGTGAATGTACAAGCCTCCATCTCAGAAGACAGGAACCTAGTATAGCAGAGCTTGGGCTTCTGTTTGCTAGTACGGCGGAGGCTGCACCAGGCTGAGAGTAGCAGTCTTTCAGCTTACTGAGTATGACTACTGCTGGTTTGTTTCCTGAGCGGCTGCAATTCCATCGGCCTCAAGGCTCATCTCCGCAAACACTTGCGTTTGAGAGTGAGTTGAGCCAAAGGTTGTCTGTTTCAGCCGAGGGGTCGGGTGCAAGGTACAGAAACTTGAGTAGTTAGTGGAATTGACCTAGCAACACGGGCGCGACCCATGAAATATGCGGATGAACAGGATTCATTGTTGGTTGCTGGCTGTTAGCCCTGAGGCCTGAGCAATCAAAGTTCCCACAGCAATGTGAAACTTAGCGTGCCATGGGCTTTGCGCCAGTCCGGTGCAAAGGCTTCACTGCCGTTAGACGGACAGTCCAAAGGTGCATGTGCTCCATCTGTATGCATGCGGTATAAGACAGCGTGACACACCCTGAGATCAAGCCTTGGGCTTACTGCCCCATTATCTCTGAGACTGCACACTCCTTAACCACAAGGCCCTTACGCCCCTAAACCCTGAATTCATGCACATGTAAGCTCGGCAAAGAGTCCGAAAGCGGGGAGCGCGTCCAAGGCCCGTACACTTCACAAGGCCCAAATGAGAGATGCAAAAACTTGAAGCGACGTTAGGAGCCATGTCAGTGTGAACCCCCTTACGACCTTCACCCTAGACTACAGGCTTCCCACGAACGCCTCTAAAGAGCAAGTGCACCAGCCCAGGACTTGTGGGCCCTACGGTTTTGCATGGTTTAGCTATACCAGAAGATTTGAGTTTGGAATCTTAAGGATAGAGACCAGTCGTTAAAAAAAAACTAAACCTCAAACGCAGAAAACGACCCTAAGCTTTCAGAAAGCTCAGCAAAACCCTGAACCCTAAGAAGCCGCCAGTTCTCCAAGGCCCCAGCCCGTGCAGTGACCGACGCCCTCGGACTGGCCGATTGCCGCCGGAGACCTGGGGTGAGAACAGAAGGGAACAGTATGGTTTAGGGTTTAGGGTTTAGGGTATCACGGAGCCAAAAAAGTGCTTACAAAAGGGACACATTTGTTTGCATATATATATATATATGTACATATTTTTCTTTAAGAGATACTCGTAGGATTTACAGGCTTCGGGGTTTCAGGTATGTACTCTCCGACTCTCCCAGCTAACATTAAGGTTACATAGACATTTGAAAGGAGATCGGTCCTTGGTGGGCCCTTTAGGGAGTTTCATGTGAGTTTGTAGGAGGATGGAAGGCCTGCAATGTCAGTTAGCTTGGCAGATATGTTGAAAACAACCTGCTCAAACATACTTCAAGGTTTACGGTCCGACGGTGGAATCCTAGATATTGGTGCTGCTGCTGCTGCTGCTGCTGCTGCTGCTGCTGTTGTTGCAGTGTCGGACGTATATCTGTTAGCTGTTGCAACATTCGCGTGCTGATGCGAACCCTGGTGCTGGTGATGCTTCACACTAATAGGATGATGATGACGGCGCATGAGGAGGAGGATGATGATTATGATGATCATGATGAGGATGGTGATGATGACGTTCATGAAGCACAAATCATGATGACTGCTGTTCTTATGGAAATGAGGATGGTTATGGTGACGATTATGTCGACGACGATAGATCGGGATGCTGCTGATGCTGGTGGTAGTTGTTGGGGGGGTTGTTTGAGAGCGACGCTATGACACTCGTTGGTGTGCATGAGGCTTCCTCGCTCCATCACGTAGCCCCGTCATTCTTCTCCACAGCAGACAGAACAACAGCACAAGAAAGCTACACATACTGGCCTCCCATACCGAAGACTTCCGTAATTAGAAGCAATCCCTGATGATGGCGAACCCTCATACCCAAATGAGAGTTTCTCCAGGCAGTCCCAAGACAGTGCCTCAGGGCAACCCGGACAATTTGCTTAGAATGTCCCCAAGCTTCCTCCCTTTTTCGGAAGTCCCCAAATCTTGAAACTGCCAATTCAGCCGTGCAGCAACTTTGGTTGTATGTAGCTGGGAAGGAGTGGGGGAGTGGATACAGGTGCGTACCATTATAGGGGGTACATATAGGTATTATTATAGGGATCCACTCCCCCACTCTCCCTTAAGCACCAAAACTCTAAACCATCCTAAAGCCTAAGCCCTAAACCCTCTGTTCCTGGCTAATCAGTCAGCCTAAGGCTCAGCAGTGTCCTGCCCAAGCAATGCCTTTTGCCCCTCAAGATGGAGGCCACCAGGGGAATGCATGGGAATATCTAGATATATATATATATATAATAGGGATGGGGGTTGAGGATTTAGTAGGGAGTATATAGGGTTTAGGGATTTTTTGGTTTAGGGATTAGGGTTTAGAGATTAGGGTTTAGGATTCCGAGTTTAGGGTTCAGGATTTAAGGTTTAGGCTGAAATTGGGGTTGTGGATTCAAGGTGTTGAGGGCCAGGGTATTGAGGCTTTGTGTTTAGAACTCAGGGCTCGGGGTTGAATCTTCAGGATGGATCTGAATTGAGTTTAGGGGATAGGGTTTAGGGTTTAGGGTTTAGGGGTATAGGGTTTAGGGCAAAGTTTGATGCTTTGCCAATATTGCACAGGAGCTCCTTTGCATACTAAAATGAACCATAATGAACCCTAAACTCTCACCCGTAAACCCTAAGCCCTCGAACATACCTCAGGTCTTTCTTGTGAGCATTCATGTCCTCCTTAGTATACAAGATGTCTTTTGCGTATGATTGTTAGGGCTTCCTATCTTTGATCCTGAGCAGCAGCTACAAATCTGCTCTTCTACAAAGATTCCGGAAGGAAATTTAAGTTAAGATCCTTGTTTTGAAGACGGCAGGGATCCAGACTTGTGCAGAAACAAGCGGGTGCTTTCCACAATTACTGTACCTTATTCTGGGCAAAATGCTAGGTGCGGCAGCATCGATGTCAAGACTGGGTCATTATTCAACATTCTTTTAAATTTCATCAGGTTAAAACACAGACCATAGTTCTGACCTGCCCGTGGGCGAGGTAGAGGCGGCGCAAGGCGTGCCAGATGTCCGCCGCCCTGTCTCGGCATCCATGTCTGTGAAGGGTAGGGTCTCGGGTGAAGGGCTTAGGGGGCATCTATGTCCATAGAGGGATGAGGGTTTCAGGATGCAAGGCAGGTCATTGGGAAATGGCCGCAGAGCGTCACAAACCCTATACACCGATCAAAGAGTTCTCTTAGGACTGAGATTCTGTTCGGGGTCAGGCTGGCGCATTTTGAGAGAGCATTGGATGCATTCTGGTTTGTCCTTGTGATGGGCTGGCTGTTGCTGACAACCGTCGTTTCGAAAGGATGTCTGTATCAGTGTACACGCATATGTGATTTTTTTCGCGGAGCTTGGCTATCAAGATATGGACGCCGCTGTTTCGCTCGACAGTCCTCTGCACTTGCATTCACATATGTGTCGCAGACTGAAAAGAGCAGGATTTGCACCAGGATTTCCTCCTTCAGCACTGGATCCTAAGAATTACCATTACGCTTATTGCTATGTTACTATGGCTCTGGGGGCCCAGGTTGAGGGTGCCGCCAGTGAGCTCAGCAGTGGGGAATGCTCCCCCGCGTGCTGTCCTCAGATTTACCCAGCTGCTGAGAGTGCCACCTAGTGTCTGTAAATGGGCCGACCGGGAAAGTGTGCTAGCTTTCGCGTTTTGAGCGCCGACACTTGACACAGAATCTAAACTAACTGATTTGTTTTTCGAATTGTGTAAGCTTATGCTTTGCTGCTTGGGGTTGTTTTCCTTTCGCCTCTTCGACAAAAGAGTTCGGACAGGTAATGAACCACCGTATTGCTAAGGCCAACCTAACTTGCTAGTGTAAATGTTGTCTCACGCATCAGAGATACCCTGCAACTCTTGGCAATATGACACCTAGGTGAGCTTGATGCGAAATAGGCCACCCAAGTTCTACGTCGGGATTCCCCAACCCTTTAGATATCACATTATCATAAGAAGAGCCCCCATAACGGATTGGCAACAATGATGGTTCTTTTTGGGGTCCCACAAAAATGCCTCCCTAACCCCTAATGCTAGCCAGAAGGGGCCTCTGATTTTCATAGTATCTATCCATAGGTGGACCCTGATATGGAAACTATAACGATCCTTATTCATTATCGGTAACCCCGAAGAGGGACCCCCAAACTTCCAAATCCCTAAATCCTATAGATGCTTACATATATGGGTGATTATATCCCCCTGTACACCTACATCCCTTTTCAAGGGAGCCCTGATCTTGGAGAATCCCAAGCCCTAGACTAGACATCCCTACATAACCCCAATATAATCCCTGTATAACCCCTATATAACCCTATACCATCCCTATATCACCCCTAAATAATCCCTATACAATCCCTATATGACCCCTATACAATCTCTATATCACCAATAAAAAATCCTTTACAATCCTTATATGACCCCTCTATAATCCCTATATAATCCCTATATAATCCTTATATTTCTTTTTCTAAAGGGGCCCCTTATTTCTAGGAAACCCCTAGCTGGGCTCCGAGAAGTGTAGCCGAAGCAAGGCCTGGGGCAAGTAAGCTGGAGCTCGCCGAGTCTTGGGCCCTGGGATCAGGGTTTATAGGGCTTAAGGGGACAGAGTTTAGGGCTTAGGTTGAGGGTTTAAGGTTTAAGAGTTTAGGGTTTAAGGTTTAGGGTTTAGGGTTTAGGGTGTAAAGTTTGCGGTGTGAAGTTTATGGTGCTCTTCTACTTGGAGGGTCAGGGGGACTTGGGAAGTAGGTTGATAATGGAAGATGAAACGGAAATTACCAGATTATTTAGGGTTTCGGGTTTGGGGCCAGGGGGACTCAGTAAGTAAGTTAATAATAGGGAGAACTAGGTTGACTATGTAGCCTATCCAAGGTATTAAGCTAGTTACTGAGTCCTTCTGACCCTCCAGGTATAGCACTACAGTCCCTGAGGCGGTAGTGGTTTGTGACTACAGTACTATGAAATCGCCGTGCAAGTATGGTACTGTAGTAAAAGAGTACTATGATACGACGATTATATAGTACTAGAATACTATCGTATGATAGCACGGTGGTCCCAGGATATTATGGTATCATGTTGCCATAGAAATATCATATTATTTGCAGCATAGTGATGGATTCTACTGGTACTACATTAGTAAAGTGCTATTAAACGATGGTGCCATGGAATCACACTTAAACCCTATAAAACTTAAACCCTAAACTGCATAACAGTAATGACGCTCGTACCGTTTGGTGCCATAATCGTATTATTATGGAATCGTAGTACGATGGGACTACACATGGTATTTCAATATCATGGTATCATCATAACACTCGAGTAGCAAAGTTACAATAGTTCTGATTTTCTACAGCACAATGTCACTATGTTATGAACTTACTGTGTTACTGAATCGCGCCAATCCCCTCAAAGCGGCCCACTCCTCAACAAGCCCCATGGGCCCTGGTAGTCTGCCGCTGCTGGTCTTGCTGCTTCTCCAAGAATGGAGGAATGGATCCAGAAAGAGAGCGAGAGAGAGAGAGAGAGAGATAGATAGAAAAACAACATATACATATATATATATATATATTTTGTTATACAGTAGCCCCTACATAATCTACAGTAATACGGTAGTTTGCATGTTCTTTACTAGCAACCAGTCAGCTGGGGGCGCCTCAACGCTTTCCAAGGCACCGGATGACGCCGGAGCGGCCTCCGCTGCGCCGACGGCGCGTGCGGCTGGTGCCCAGAGAAGGTGCGGAGATTCGGGGTTATTGGGAGCTACTTTACTACAGGGGCCAAAAGAATCAGGACCACTAGTTCCCAGTCTCCTCGGATAAATATGGCAAAGAGTACCTCAAAAAGACCTCAACATGACGATATTGGTGACTCGTTAGGCTTCTACATGATTCATTCTGGGAGTACCTCAAGGACGTGCCTACATAATCACAAGTGGAGCTCCTTCAACTGGTTTAGGGTTTAATTACAGTTTAGGGGCCGTCGGCTCCCAGACAAGCCCACAACTCCCCGTTTCCCACTGCGTTGAGTGAGAATCCCAAGTCACTAACAAAGCCAATCCCTGCACCTCTACCCACAATCCTATACTTCCCCAGGTTTGCTTTAAAACCCTGAGTTGGAGAAGGTTTCTTTCTTGTCATAGGGAGTGAACGAATGGGCAAACAGCCCTCCATAATTCCTATTCTTGCCTCCCCCAGCCGCTTATCCCGCAACCCCAAACCCTAAACCGCAGCCCTGACCCACCAACGCCCCAATCCTAAACTACGAAACCCCCCTAACCCCCAAACCTAAACCAGAAAAACTCAACCCTGAGCCCCGAACTCCAACCCTGAAACGTACAACCTGACCCCCCCCCAAAACAACAAACTCTAAGCCCTTAAAAGGAGGTTAGTCTTATTCTGGCATTGTAATATTATATTGCCAGCTTATTGTAGATTATAATGGGAAGGGGGTTAGCATCATTATGGCATTGTAGTAGTAAAAGAACCATGGTTCGAATTCCTAGTATCCCCCTTAATAACCTCTGTATTCGTCCTTCAAGGAGTCGCGACCCTAAACCCTGAATCCTCAATCCTAAACACTAGACCTTGAACCATTTCCCCTAGATATAAATTCCTCAAGGAGTGTAGACTATAGCTCATATGACCATGTTATTCTACAACGCAGGGAGACCTCTAAGCAATGCGCAAGGCCGGTGGCAGCGGGGACGCAGTGTGGAGTCAAGGCCACCGGCCTTCCTGAATAGGGTTTGGGGTTTAGGATGCAGGGCTAAGGTTTAGGATTTAGGGTGTAGGATTTAGGGCTTAGGGTTTAGGACTGAGGGTTTAGGGTTACGGCGGGCGGCGGGTATCAAAAATTAGAATCTTGCATAAGCCTAAGTGACCTGTATCTTGGGGACTATGTCATTATAGTATACTAAGATCATGCTGGCTTTTTAGCATCTTCATCCAATAGCACCAATGTGGGGCATCCAGGCGAGGGATCTTGCAAAACCTTGTAAAACCATAGGTATGAAAGCCGCAATGTGCCAAAAGCCTGTAAAACAATAGGCGCCTCCCCAAAAAGCGAATGCTTGATTTTGAATTGGCTGCTTTTAAAATATGTACGCAGCTGCCCAAGTGAGATTGTACTAGGACGGACCTGCTTGAACATAGTGTAAATTGCCACTTTGACGCAGACATGCTTACAGTCCTACAGTCCAGAATCGATAGCCATATCAAGACATGCATTGGCACCCGACCTTGCTTCAGTTGATGACTTTGTGTTCAGAGCGTCGAGTTATCATTGTAGGACCCATTTCTAGCATTGGCAATGTGGATTCAGTACGGACTGTAGAATGCAGCTTTCATGGCCGTAGGATCCAAATGACCAAAGTAAGTACAGTTAGAGCCGAAGTAGGAGTTCCTGAAACACCAAACCTTATACCTAAACACTGTGTTCGAGCCCTGGGGTCAGGGTAAGGCTGGCCTTTCGCAGACAAGCTTGCCCAAAATGGAGAATCAAATGGCAAACCAACTGGATAAAACAAAGGTGATATTGCCCACAAAACGAACAATGAAATATCACATGCAAACTAGGCTGACCTTGCGGTTAATCTAGTCCCTCTATGTCTTTCCTGTTTGTGGTTGGGCCGTGCATTTTGTAAAGGGTATATCCCAAAAAGGCGGAACATCCCCAGTCCAGAAAGGGTTTGCTGCTTGTTAGTATAGGGAGTGGATAGCCAAACGGAGCCAACATAAATAAAAGCAAGTGTACAAGAACAGGTAAACTGAGGGTTTCTGGGGATGGGTAGAGTTTAGTTCACTTGGACTATTACTTTAGCAATATTACTAGTACTAGTACCATTACTGTTACCATTATTACTAGAATGAAATACCAAAGCCCCAAACCCTAAACCCTACCTATAACTTTAGTATAGCTTCATCCAGGCCGACCGACCCAGGGCCCGAAGCCCTTGAACTCGAAACCCTAAACCTTCAGCGCGAAACACCAAGCCCTAAAGCCTTAAACCTTATAGTCCCCCTTAAGTAGATAGAATATGGGGTATATGGGGATCTTATTAAAACATACCCAAAGCCGTATACTATCTACTTAAGGGGGCGAAAACCCTTCAATCTAAAGCCCTAAACAGAAAC